AGCATAGAGCGGGGCATGATGTGGGCATTGCACTCAAAATTAATATGAATTTGCTGTTGATTGTGGAGGGGCAGGGTTTAAGCAAACTAAAAAATTAAACATACATGGATGAACCTTTCATAAAAAGATCTATAACAGGCTTTTACATGCATTTACATGGCGACTCTAATTAGATTTCAGTCACAATTTTACAAAACATTTTGGTCAATCTGGAGCTCTGCATTACCCTAAATAGCTCCATCCACCATGGAATCTCATTGGTCCAAAATTCTGCTTCTCATAACTGTCTGTTGAACATGAGATATCTTTTGGTGTCTATGAATGTGTGTCACACTTGCAGCGGTTTTGCATTTAGTGTGAATAAACACATTGCTTGTCGTCAGAAACTTGAGATATGGGAGATAAATATATGTTTTTTTTATTGCTTTGCATGTGCCCTGTGGCTGTTTTGGAAGTTATTCACAATTGTTTGTTGTTTTTCTCTCACTAAACTTAGGAATTAAATTAAGGAATGTTCTAGCAGTTTCTGCAGGGTGGCTTATGATGTGGCAGAATGTGCAGAAGAATTCTAAGCATCTCAACTGGCAGGAGTAGGAAAAGTGTCTCCACCCATGCCAATTAAGTCCCTGCTGATGTTTGTTTCACCTTGTAGACTCGAGAGTGTGTAAAATCACATCCTGGTGCTGTGGGATCACCTCAGTGAACCCTTTTTTCATTTGTAAGCCTATAGGCAACTAAGTAAACATACACACTGTGATGGGAGTGAGGACAGACGTGGTAAGATTAGCATGCCTCCGAGCGGCTTTTGTTGTAAGTAAAAATACAAACAAGAAAGAAAGTGTCCTTGTGAGTGGAGGGGAGAGGGGGGGGTGACGAAGGTCAGGTTGTACAGTGACCCGCATCTTAAGGTGTGGTCATATTGACCGTTGTTCAGAGAATTTTTTCCATCAAAATCCAGTCATCTGAATAGTAATTTGGCACAAGTGTGAAAAATTTCCCCACACACATTTTGCAGCAGGTTTAATTTTATAACGCAAATTCGTGACAGAAAACTGCTTCATGCATCGCTATACTATCGACAATAGACAATGGCGCTTTTTTGGTCCACTAAATATCTCCAAAATGTTGCTAGTGCGGCTGCACCTTTATTTGCTGTTTACTGGCTGGCAGTGCAATGTGGATTTATAGCTATGTGGATGGGACGCATCAGGTCTCTGCCATCAAACTCTGCCATCGTCGTGACTCCCCTCTGGACCACATGCTCTTGTCGTGATCCTGGACATAGGCCATCCATTAGAGCTGGGACGTTGATGATTTGAGGGGGGATGTGTATCCTCCATCCGCTGAAATCCTACTCATACCAACTAAACGTACCATATTCATTTCACAAATAAACAAAACGGTTATATTTCCCCTGTAATGTTATTCTGCATGATGTGAGCTCATAAATAAAAAGGGGAAAATCCCATGTAGACGTTTCTTTGGCTGTGCCCCCTGAGCCTGCTAAGCGGAGTGCCAGGATTCTGTTGCCGGGCGACCAGGAGTGCTGTGCCATGCGGCTTAGTTGCCTCCTCATGTTGAGCTGGTGGTGCTGGCTGCCTAGTTAGTGCTTGGAGTCCCACCTCGGGCTGCAACCCACCCAGGCAGACCTTTCAACGGTATCTGCACAGATGCTTTTCCTAGACCTGCTGTCAGATTCCTGGACTAGAGTTCCTATTTCATGAGGCAAGCATCACTATGACTATTTCTCTGTTTCTAGCATTTCTGCCAACCCATTACTTTTTGACGAAATTTGCTGTTCTGACATTGAAATTTGTGCACATCCGAGAAGAATTTTTTTTTTCTTTAAAAAAAAAAAAAAAAACTGATTTAGATGGATTTATCTCTGAGGGGACTGACTGTCTTCAGAAAGGTTTTGATGGCATTTCTTTGCATCCTCCCAACGTATGCTTAACAAAGAAATTTTTATAATTACAGCGCTGCTTTGTGTACAGTGGTAACTTGGGTAACCACTGTATTTCTGCTTCTGCATTTTCATTCAGCCCATCTGCCACATTTGTTCAGACCGATACAAAAAAGTATATAGAATTAAATATTAATATATTTCAATAAAACATAATAAACAAAATCATTTGCCATTTTGACTCATCCTAATTTCTTAAAGAATGGCTGAAATGCGAGGTTTTGTGTATGCTGTTTTTGTCAAAACTTGTATCATTTGAACTGTTAAGTTGATTGAATTATGATTTTATTTTAGTGTAATTTTACGGTTGATGTTACCATAGACATAGGAATTGTCTTTAAGCCACGTTTCTACCTAAACATGCAGTTCTATTCTAATATTGTAATTTTAGAATTTTTCTACTGCTGATTCCAATAAAATTTTTAGAAGAATCTAAAGAGTATTGACAAGTATTATTTGTATTATAAGACACAAAATATCTATAATATATTAAAATATAGGGGTGTCACAATAAATCGATTTGTGGATCGATTCTGCGATTTTCCAAATGCATCGCAATTCTCTCTGGAATCGGTTCTGAGCTTAGTATTTAAAAGCCGATGGCGCTCTAGGCAAGTTTTTAACCGCACACTCAAATGCTCATGAAGAAGAGTGCGTGTGCATTCAACTAATAAGTAATTTAAGGTGTTTAAATGTACTTGCACCCTGGCTTTTATGCTTTTATGATGCGAGATTAATGTAAACACAGCCCACTGTGAACACTCGTAATACGCTTCAACCTTTTTCGAACTTTATGAATGATTATTTTAAGTGGCGTGTGTGTAAGGAACTGGAAGCAAGCAGAGTACAGCTGTTTCTAAAGCACGCAGTGCCATCTGCTGTTAAAAACTAAGCTCAGAATCCATTCAAGAGAGAATAGCGATGCATTCGGAAAATCGCAGAATCGATTCCACAAATCAATTTATCGTGACACCCCTATTAAAATATCACCTTTTTAAAGGTAACATTGCTGATAAAAGTGTTGTTACTTTTTAAAACAACCAGACAATTTTGAATGATTTTTTACTGGGCAGAACAATATAATGGGCAAAACATTTCCACTTGAATACAACGCGGTTTGCGCTCTCTTGATTTCAGCCTTAGCAATGCCCTAGCAACTATCCACAACACCCTCACAATTGTTACTTGGCTGTTGATCAGAGTCAAACTATCAGCTCTCCTCTTGTGCTTTTCCCACCCTTTCTCTCACTGTATCATATTACTGACAGGGCTTGTCTCTCATTGCTCACTCAATGCAAGTGATTCCATTGGAATGCTTATTGATCCCACATATGTCAACAGTGTACTAAGATCCCTTGACTCTTCATAGCAAACAAGTGTGTTCAATATGGCTTGTTGTTGAAAGCTTAATTTGAAACGCGCTGCTATTTTTTCATGCTTTTTTGCACCGCATAAAAGTGACTTTCTCACGCTTTTAACAGAAGCTGGTCTCTCATGGAAATTGGCATATGGATCATTTGGGGTTACATCATGATGTCAGTAACCTTTCTGCGATGGAACTGATTTGTTTGTCAAGAGCTGATTACAGAGAGCCTCCAAACAGACCCGTTTGTTTGTATAAAACTACAGTTCAAAGGCATTGTTTGAAAGGACAATGGACATGTTAAGACGAGATGTAGACACAATAATTACAAGGATTTCGGTAAAAAAAATTTGTTTATGCCATGTTCAGTACCTCTGAACATCAATCAATCTCCACTGTTGTTTTACTTTCCCAGGCATTATGCATTGCTGTGTTTTTCATGTGTTAGTACAGTGGAAAGAATTATTATGCTGTCAGTCACAAGTACATTTACATTTTAAACACAATATTGCAAGTTCCGTTGTCTATTTTTGCTCCACCAAAATAGGTCAAAACAAAGTCAAAGAATCAACCATTGCATTTCCAAGCAACACACAGAAGTGGTGTTTCATTCCTAAATGAATCAGTGTTTTAAAAGTTAGGAATTCACTAATGAAAACTTGTTTCATAGCAGACTGTATGAGTGTTTTTGAATGAATCAGTTCAGTGAATGATCTGATGACTCAGTTATAAAGACAGTCACTTGTTTATTTCCTGAATGAATCAGTTGAGTGAATAATTCAATGGTTCGCTAAAAAGACACTTGTCACCACCTACTGGCGCGACGATGTTATCATACAGAAAGAGTCACTTAAAAATTGCACCATTGCACAGGCTGACAGTCTGTCTGAAATGTACAAACACAGACAAGAGGAGAGATACAAACAGTGAAAAAAAGCCCTGTCAGACTGTATATCAGCACTCTTGGCACACCGCACAGCCAATCAAATCTGAGTACTGTTGTGTTACTGTTAGCTGGTGTTTCTCATCATGACACATTCCAGCTCAGTTAAAGCCCACCACAGATGGACCGTGGCTTCTCGTTGGGCCCAGCCTGACTAGATGCTTCCCAAGCTAATAGTCCAAACAGCGGTCCATCTGCTAGCTAGACTTTTTGGCTTTGCCTCTGGTTCTACTCTTCCTCTCCCCCTCCTCCCTACTCTCTAAATTCCCTCAACAGTCTCTTAACAGTAATAATATTTAGCTGTAGTGAGTCCAGAGCTGCAGTTTACTAACAAGGCTGGCACACAGCAGCGCCAGGCCCTGCACAAACACCCTGCATCCTGACTTCACACAGGGTTTCTTCCTCCTCTGTGCCCCTCTTCATAGCCGTCCTTTTTATTTTTACTTTACAGTCAACTGATCCTAAAGCTAGCTACCACCTTACCCCAGAACACACAAAAGAGACCATAAATGGTCTCTGATCCCTCATATTTAGCTGATTACTTAATAAATAAACCAATCTTACGTATAATAGTATTCAAATAGTAATAGTGTTTTAAGCCTCAGGAAAAAACATGTTCCTCCTTAAAACATGTTCAGTTGATTTACAGAGTTGCCTTGTATATTAAAACTCAGTCTTCTTTTGAAGCAGCAACTGATGTTTTTCTCTATATTTGTGTTTTTCTTTTCCAGTGTGTCCAAAGGAGTGTGAGAAGAGGGCGTGCACGGAAAAGGGCAAGTGCTGTCACCCCCAGTGCCTTGGCAGCTGCACTGAACCAGACAATGATAAGGCATGTGCCGCCTGCCAGCATTACTTTCACGAGGACCGCTGCGTTGAGGCCTGCCCGCCGGGCACATACAAGTTTGAAGGTTGGCGCTGCATCACCATGGACATGTGTGCCCGTGTTCACCTACCCAGTGAGGTCGACTTTGTCATTCACAATGGAGAGTGTGTGCCGGACTGCCCATCCGGATTCACCCGAAATGAGACTCAGAGGTATGCCACCTGAGCTGGATGTAGGGGTGTCTCATTAGACACCAATGTCAAGAGTGTTTCTTTATGATTTTGCTGTATTGTTATTGATAACTAAAACTCGAACTGACACTATTAAAATAGTTTTCCTTAACCCTCTAAGCGCCAAAGTTCGCAAAATTGCGACAAGACGTCATACTTAATAAAATAGACTGTAGTTCCTAATATGGTGTAATATCTCATTTGTATTCCCTACCACTAGATGGCAGACATGTAGTACTTCGATTCTAGACCAAAATTACGTCACGTTCCTATTCAAAGTGTTCAAGGAAATAGCAGCGCAAGTGAGCTATCGTGTCATTGATGCGGAAGCAGTTCAGTTTATAGCGTGCGAGTAAATTGTGAGATTTGTGAGAGAAAATCGCCAAATGGCTAATAAAAAGTTGTACCGTGAGGATGTGTGTTCAGTTCATAGCGTGCGAGTAAACTGTGAGATTTGTGAGAGAAAATCGCCAAATGGCTAATATATTGTTGGTTTCCTCTTTTCTGATCATTTGGAATGAGGATAAAAATATAAAAAAACATGCAAATAAGAATTGATTGCAAACATCAATTCAATATCTACTATTTCCTGAATATTTTGAAATTCAAGATGACTGCCCATGATGACATCATAATATGCGAATTAGACGAGTATATTTACAACTCACATAAACTTTCGGTCATGCCCAACATTTTTCTAATTTACATTAGATCTCTATCTTTAAGCCCTTTCAAGCCACAAGCTTTTGAAATCTTGATGTCAAAATCCAGCATTTTTCCAAAAATCCCT